AAACCGCTTAGAGAGGGCTGAAAGCCCTATGAAGCGGTATATAAGTCTGCTATTGCTATTGCTATTAAGTGCCCCACTCGCTCACAGAGAGGGACAGGTTCTTTCACCCCCATTTCTTTCCCTGTGGACCCCCATGGCTGGGATGAGATTGTGGGTAGACAAGAAGGGATAAAACCAGTGGTAATAAGAGAGATATTCTGGGTTTTTTCTCCCCCCCCCTCTGTAAATCGAACCAAAACAGCTTGGTCCAAAAGCAAAAAACAAAACAACAACACACAGGGCAAAAGATTTAAGGAGCAACTCAAAGATAACCAGAAACCCTGGTGTGTATGATATCCTGACTGTGATCCATCGATCGATAAGCATCAATAATTCAGAAAGAAACAATCCATCAAAGGTCTTAAGAAACTTGGTTAAAAATGGCTCCTTCCAGCCTTTTCTTCCCCGTAAAGCAAAACAAAGAAAAACAGGGAAACAAACCAAGAATTCATTCTGTGTTTCATACGCTGTTTCCCCCCCACTTTCCTGGTGTCCTCCAGAGCAATTTTCACATGCAATCCGTGCCTTTAGCGGGAGTTCTCAACTTATGGCCATAATGGAGCCTGTCCATCATAGTTGTTAAGTCAGGACGGTTATAAAAGCGACCTGATTTCCTCCCCCCCCCCCCGGTTGTAAAGGCACCTGAGTTTCTCACCTCCGGGCAACAGCTGAGCAGAACCTCATGCCCCCCCCCCCCCCCCCCCCCGGTTGTAAAGGCACCTGAGTTTCTCACCTCCGGGCAACAGCTGAGCAGAACCTCATGCCTGTTTGTTGAAGCTTCTCATTGGGGAGTCCAAAAAAGGTTTTGATTGCCAAGTGGCTGTGAGCTGCCATCTTGACTTTTTTGCCCTCCCCTTCCCTAAGGACCCAATTATAACGTTTCGTGTCACCCACTCAGTTTTCCAGAGATGTTTTCCACCTGCCCCTCCCCGGATACTCACCAGGATAACACAGACCACCGTCCCCGAATTCTTGTCCACCAAAGGATTAATTAACACTGCGAAAAAACGGAGGAGAAAGGAGGAAAGGATTAAATTGAATGAATTTAGGCTAACCTTAATTCGGTCCCAGGCAACTAACGGGCTAAAACTATCAACTTACAGGCATAGTTCCTGATTTATGACCACGATTGGAGACCAGAAGTTCCGCTGTTACACGAGGCCATTGTTAAGCGAGTCAGGCGCAATTTTACAAACTCTTTTTGTCGTTAAGTGAATCCGTCACGCTCTTACCTTGCTTGCCGGGGGCTAAGGGGGCAGCCAAGCCGGCCACTGGCTTGCCCTGCAGATCGGCCAACGGCAGGCCGTTACAGGCCACCCTCTTCTGCTGAAGGACGGCATCTCTGGAAGGACGAAAAGGGGATTAAATCAAAAACCAGAAGCAGAAGGAGCAAATTTGGAATGTAAAATCCCAATTCAAGCCCTCGATTTCCAACTGGGAAGAAGAGCCCAATGATGAATGGCTTAAGGGGAAACCCTCCAAGAAAAGAAGGATCCCGGTTTGGTTCTGGGATAGGAGACCACCAAGAGATACCCCAGCCGAAGGGGGTAGCTTCGGAAGCTGGACAAATATCCCCAAGGAAACCGTGTTGAATGCGCTTGTTGGGTCTTCACATGCCAAGGTTTGACTGGCCTTCAGCCCTAAGTAGGAACGGCGGAGAGTCCCCAGCAGCAACTCCAGAGACAATCTAGTCTAGTGGTTAAAGGCAACAGGCTGGAAACAAGCGATTTCTAATTCCCAACTTAGATAGGGAAGACTTTGGGCCAGTCATTAGGAGATGGTGAGTTCTAGTCCTGCCTTAGACATGAAAGTTGGCTGGGTGNCTATGAAGCGGTATATAAGTCTAACTGCTATTGCTATTGCTAAGTCACAGCGAAGATCTCACTCACCTGACAGAAGAGTTGATTGTTGTCCTCCGAGACCAAAAGAAGACAGCAACACTGAGACTGCGTCTCCTGCTTCAGCTGGAGGAGGAGAAACGTGGAGAATCTTGGACAAGACAAGCATAGCTTGGAAATGAACAGAGATGATCAAGGCAGGGTCTCGCGGTTGAAATATCTCATTGTCAGGCGTGCAGCCATCTTTCTTTCTGGATCTCTGGCCTGCCACACTCTCTATTGTTCTACTATGCATTTTCTATGGTGGGAAAATGGATAACCACTTTACTGACTCGGTAGTCCCTACAAGATGCTTTTTCAGAAGGCAAATGGACTTTCTTCTTTTTTGTTTTGTTTTGAAGATGTTTCGCTTCTCATCCAAGAAGCTTCTTCAGCTCTGATTGGACGGTGGGGAAGGGAAGAATGATAGGATATCTCTCAGAGCTGAGGAAGCTTCTTGGATGAGAAGCAAAACATCTTCAAAGAAAAAAGAAAGAAGAAAGTCCAGTTGCCTCCTGAAAAAAGCACCTTTGGGACAACCGTGACTCGGAGGACTGAGAATCTCCATAGATGTTTGACCAATAGTCTCCTGCCTTGAGACCTCCAAGGTCTCTTCCATCTCTAAAATCCTACGTTCTATGGAGTTGGAACAGAAAGAGAAAAACATTATGCCTCTATCTAGATAAAGGGGAAACTTTATCTAGATATCAGACTAAGCTAAGATTTTTCAACCGTGGCCACTTTAAGGTGAGCGGACTTCAACTCCCAGAATTCCCTGGCAGTGGGAAAAGTCTCCCCCTCCTTTTTTTTAAAGTGTAGGGAGTTACAACCCACCCTTTTTTCCTAGAAAAATGAAATATCCTGGGAAATATTGGAAAAGGCAGAATATTATATTTCCCCTGAATCAGAAATGGAGAAACATGTTCTTAGGCAGGAAGCAGACTCACTCTTAATGGCCCCCACCTTTGTCAATGGGCCACTAAAAAGCCAGGGCCAGTCTATTCTACATAACAAAGATCTCCCCCTTCAGCTCCAGGGTGATGGGATTAAGGCATGATAGTATCAGCCCTTTACCCATCTCACCACAGGGCACCTGGGAAGAAGCCATGCTCAACCAAGCTTGGGACTCAAAAGGGCACACAACCTACAAAGTTAGCTAAGAACACACACACACACACACA